ACCCGGAGCTTACCCTTTGAGGGTTCACAACCCAGAATCTTCAGGATCAAACTGGGTGACCAGTGGTTTTCCTTTGCAGAACCAGATGCACTTGTAGGAAAGTTGAACAGGTAACCTGCTGTTTTACCAGAAATTACTTCTTTCTCTAGCTGTATCCTGATTGGCTTGATGGCAACTGTGTATTGAATGGTTGCTATATAAAATTGGTAATGATGTTGGTGCTATGAATACTTGTCAGTCTGGCCTTACACAAGCCTTTTTAGAATTAAAATTTAGAATTAAATTTAGAATTTAGAATTAAAATTAAAATACCATATTTTACACATGGTATCTGTTTCTGGTAGATAATTTTTTTTATTTGCTTTTAGGATCACCTTAAGGATAATTCTTTTCTATACAGCTATTTGTGCTTTTAATTCTAGATCCATTATAATTATTATTTGAAGTTAAAAAGTTATTCTTATGTGTATTTAAACAGAGGTTTCCTAGAAGCACCTTCATGTCATCCTATCAGAACCATTAATGAGAAACTCATTGCTGAATTGGGCAAAGCTTTCCCTCTGAAGAGGCTGAAGTGTTCCTTCCCTTTTCTGCCAGAGGGAAGCACCAGTGTTCTCACTTCCTGGAATTGTGACAGTCTGTCAGCTGCCTTTTGGATTAGTCTCTGTGAAGATAACTCAAATTCTGAGTCCCTGACTGGCGGGACAACACAAGACATGGAGGACTTTCTAGTGTTATTTTCAGAATTTAGCCTTCTCAGGGATCTTGGAAGAGACAGCAAGGAAGAAGCTCATGAAGAAATCTATGGCCAAACCAAGGTCTGTCTTAGACCTTCTCTCCTAGTTCATGTTCAGGCTGTCATCCAAGGACCAGACTTCCTCCCAGGTTCCCTGCACGTCCTCAGTGGACCTGTCTTTCGGAAGTGCCACATCTTGCCTTTCACAATGCCGGCATTTCATGAGACTTTATTTATCCTTGGGTTTAATAAAAATCTGAAGGATGGTTATCTTCAGTCACTACTGGATCACCTGAAGGGCGCTCTCGATAGCCTTCTGATCCAGACATTGCTGGAGGGCTCTAAGCTGAGCAGTTCAGTGGAATTTGTCTTTCAACCAAATGGGAAAGATTATATTATTAATGTGAAGTCTCATAATTTTGGCTCAGATTGTGCCAAGGATCTGATTATTGGGTCTGTCACTACGTCTGTTACAAGCATTATACACAAGGACCAGTGTTTTATGTTTGTGTCTATGAACTTGGACCTACTAGCCATGCTTGTCTGGGGTATCTCTGACTGGAGGATGTTGTGGACCTTTGATCACCGTTTCCTGAAGAATTTTGTTCCTGGGAAAATAGAACCCTTTAAAAGCTATTCCCTGTATCCCCCATGCTATGTGCATGATATTAGTTTTTGGTTAGATGAGAAGAAAGAATTTGATGAACTAGAGTTTCACACGGTGGCCCGAGCAGTGTCCCAGGACACTGTCATATCCATACAATTCCTTAGTCGTTTCCAGCATCCAAAGACTCAACAGGTCAGTCTCTGCTACAGATTGACTTACCAGACGTGTGACAAGGCCCTCACCCCGCAGCAGGTGGCATCAATGCAGTCCCGGTTTAGGAAAGAGATTCAGCAAAGACTACATGTAATACCTCGGTAGTTTAGTAAATTTACTTCTCAAGTGTGATCCTTGTGGGTATGGGTGCAGGTGCAGATGAAAAAGACCAATTTGGGGGCACGTGGCTGGCTCAACTAGTTAAGCATCTGCCTTCGGCTCAGGTCATGATCTCAGGTTCCTGGGATGGAGCCCCACGTCAGGCTCCCTGCTCAGAGGGGAGTCTGCTTCTCCCTCTCCCCATCCCCCCCCTGCTTGTGTGTGTGCTCTGTCTTTCTCTCTCAAATAAAATCTTAAAAAAAAAAAAAAAGAAAACAAGTACCTTGTAGTCCTTTCTGGATTGTGTTTTTTGTAAAATCTTTTACCTTGTGACTCTAGCCAATGTTGGTTGACTCTAAAGAAACTTGGGGCTCTGTCACTTAAACTCATAGACTGTAATGTGACAGTATCTTGTACTTTAGATGCTTTATTTGTGAAGATGCAATAGAACTTCAGCGTCATATTTATATTTTTTCCATACTGCCAATTCCTCTTCCTTTATCCCAATATGTATTATCTCAGTCAATTTATGAGAGTGGTTTTTGGAGGCAGACCAACATTTATTAGCTTGGGTAAATTGAAAGTGCTCCATAATTAGTATTGGTATCATCATTATAACATTTATTCCATGGTTGACTACTGTTGAAGTCATGGAACTAATTAATGTCAGATTTAGAGTTCACACTTGGGTTTGTCTGACTCAAAAGCCCATGTTCGTTCTCCCATTGTTACTTCTCCTTCCCTAGTCTTCTTCACGAGTAACCTCTCCGCTGTGATTAACTCTAAACTTTGCCCTCCTAGATTTTGGAGCCTTCTGTTGTAAGCACCTCTCAGAGACACTGGGAGATTAGCTCAGCCCAGGGCTCTACAGAATGGAGTCCTCTAATGTTAATTAATGTATGTTCCCATTAATTAATAGTTAGACTCTGCAGATTGGAATTGTAAACTCTGGGAAGGAAGTAACTGCCTTATTTGTTCTTATATTTGGAGAAAAGCATGTAGAAAGGCAAGAATGGAAGCCAAGATACAAACTAGGAGGTAATGACGGTAATGCCAATGAGAGATAATGGTGACTTGGACCAGGGTGGGAAGATGTTGTTGGGCTGGCTAATATTTAAAAGGACTTGCTGATGAACTATATGTGTATGGGTGAAGGGCGCGGGGCTAAAGAAACAGGAATCAAGCAGGACTGACTGCGTGGTTTTTGACCTGGAAGAACAGAAGTATCATTAACGGGGATGGGAAAACTGGCATGACATTCTGGGCAGTGGGGTAAAGAATCAAGGGATTTCTTATGGACACATTTATTGCTTGTCTTTCTACACAGACTATAAGCTAATTGAGGGCAGGTAATGTGATTTATAGCTTTCTTTGTTTTTATTAGAGAGTACACACACACATACAGGGAGGGGGTGGGGTTGTTGCAGAGGCAGAGGGGGAGAGAGAATCTCAAGCAGGCTCCACGCCCAGTGCTGAGCCCAATGTGGGGCTTGATCTCATGACCCTGAGATCATAACCCGAGCCAAAACCAAGAGGCAGATGCTTAACCGACTGAGCCACCCAGGCATCCTTGATATATAGCTTTCTTCTATCCCTAATGGTGCCTAGTACAAGGGACAAGGTAGCATTTGAGCTGGATCTTAAAATAAGGGCAGTGATGTGATGGGAGGACTGTCAGGAAAGGAGGACATCCGTCCCGGGCAGAGGTATAGATAAGGGAGCAGCTGAGGCACTTTTCAGGCTAGTTAGTTGGAATGTAAATGTGTAGAGGAAAGTAGTGGGAGATAAGATTAGAAAAGTAGGTTAGAGCTGGATTTAGCTGATTAAAGACAATGCTGGAATATGGGATTTGTACTTCATTTGGCAGGCAATGGGAGAACTGGTGATTTTTGATTAAGGAGGCAATACAGAGTGGTGCTTTTGAAAATTAATTAGACAGTGTTGCATAGGATGAATTTGAGATGAAGGACCTCTGTAAGGATGCTGTTGTAGTACTCCTAGGTAGAGGCAGGGAGGGGCCTGCACTAGAGTGAAATGAGAAGGGGAATGAAAAAGGGATGTCTATAGGAGATAGGGCTAGGCTGGGATGTCTGAACTTGGTACCTAATAATTGCCTATAGGAATTGAGCAATATGATCAATTTCCATTTTCAATATTTGTGAATTTTTAGTATGAAATAATAATCTGGGACCCTGTCAAGTTCAGCACTCCCTCTATATAACATTCTAAGTGTATAGCAGTGTATATTAACTTGATGGTCATTTAAGTTTGAACACCTAAAAGAACTTCATTTTCACTCCCCTCCACGTTTTATGTATATGTTGTCCTATTTTATATCTTTTTTATTTTGTGAGTCCCTTTAATTTTTTTTAGATATAATTGATTTTACTACTTGAGTCTTTTAACCTTCATCCTAGCTTTCTAAGTGATTACTACCTTTATGTTTGCTTTTACTCATGAAATTTTTTCTTTCTGTAATTGTCTTCTACTTATTGGCCCCCCCTTACAGAAGTCCCTTTAACATTTCTTGCAAGGCCCATTTCAGCACTCCCTGTACAAACGGTTCAGCTACTGCTACAGAGCTCCACAGGATGGCATAGAACTCTGTGATTGGGGGAGTGAGCAGGGTATCAGGAACAGATGAATAACCCCTGAGAGTCAGAGGTGTGCTATCACCTGTATGACATCAGGAGCTTCCTCCTAATCTTCTGGGAAAAGCATGGGCTTTGAAATAAGACAGATCTGAGTTGGAATAGGGCTCCACCATTTCCTAGCTATGCAACCTTGGGCCTCAGTTTACTTATTGATAGGAACAAGGTGGTTGTATTACATTTAAAAAGGATAAAGTATGTAAATTGCTTACCAAATTGCTGAGTAGAATGGGGGTGCCAGGGGTCTGGTTGATTTGTTGCACAGAATTTCTTGAGGCTTTCTTTTTTCTTATTCTATGTTCTGCCATTACAGCTTTGTCTCTCTGAAGCAGTTAATTGGCTATAGGCGGTCTCTATCACTCTCCCCAAAAGACAGAGAGGGCCAGGTGCCAGTGACCTTTTAATGACCTCCGCTTTCATCTGCAGCTGTGCTGTTATCTTTAACTGGATAAATACCTCTGCCCACTCCGTAGAGTTGTTTAGCCACTTTCCATTTGTGCTGAAGAGTGGAGGGAGAGTGGGACGGAGGGCGGAATGCCCAGAGTTACAAATATGTGGAAGGGATAGCTATGGTGGCGAAAGTCAAGTGTCAGGTCTCATTTCTTCTCTACTTCGGGATTTGCCCCAATTGGTCCAGTAACGCTGTAATTTAGTCTTTTCTGCGCATGTCAAGGTCTTTTGTCCCTCGGCGGACACCGTTGCCAGCCAAAGCTATGTCTCCGCGCTTGCCGCCTTCGTAGGGTGCCGAATTGTACCTTTTTTCCACGCGTGCCATGGCGAGCCGAGGGGCTCGTCAGCGCCTGAAGGGGAGCGGGGGCAGCGGCGGGGACACAGTCTCGGCCGCGGACAAGCTGCGGGAGCTGCTGTGGAGCCGTGAGGCGAGCGGCGCGGAGCCCCGGACCGAGTAGGTGTGCGGGCGCGGCGGGGGCGTGGCGGCCGGGCGGCGCGGGGCTAGCCCCGGAGGGTCTCTCGGGGCGGCGCGGGTCCAGCCTGGCTGCCTCTTCCCCCGGGTTCTTCTCTTCCTGGACGGGTCACGTCCGGTCTTCGCCCCACCCTGGGCCCCCCCATCCCGGGTCCCGTGTTTCTCGGGAAGAAAGCCTGGAGGGAGGCTCCGAGGCTGCTGGCCCAGGCCCAGAGCGGGCTGGCGTCATGGTGCTTGAGTTGGCCGAGCCTCATTGGCAAGAGCAAAGAGCAGACCTTTTCCGGCTGTCTCTCTCAGTTTCCTTCATTGCCCGCAAAGTCCTAACCCCTTACTCTTCAGTGTGGGCCCCACAACCTCCGGCACCTGCGGCCGTCTCTCTCCCCAAGCCCGGGGCACTGCGGGTTAGGACCGCATTAAAGGAGCGGTCAACATATGGAACTGGAGGAGGTTACGTACTTTGCGCAAATTAGGCCTCTGTGCATTTGAACAAGTGGGGAAATGAATAAAGGTGCATAATAATGACCTTGTTAAGAGAAGAAAGAAAAGGAGAACGAGAGCTTTGTGGCCTTCAAGGAGTGTCATCGAGGCAATGAATTAAAGTGTATGAATGAGCTTACGCATTAAAAGCAGGAAGTGGAAAGAATAAGTACAATTAAGGTCTTCGTCCCTTCTGTACTTAAACAACTAACTTCTTAGGTGAATTACTTAAGTGTGCTTTGATGTCCTTGCCATTCTTGTCGTTTCTGTCTAGTTTCAGCCCTTCTAATTAGTAGGTCTTCCTGACACATCCTCCCTTTACTTCTGAGCAGGTTATCTGGGAACAAAGCAGGACAAGTCTGGGCACCTGAAGGATCTACTGCTTTCAAGTGTCTGCTCTCAGCAAGGTTATGTGCTGCTCTCCTGAGCAACATCTCTGACTGTGATGAAACATTCAACTACTGGGAACCAGTAGGTGATTTCTTTAGTTTTCTTTTTTGTGGTGGTGGTGGTTCTTGATTTCATTGCTTGGGACCTTGTTGCCAATCAGGATACAAATAATATACAAGTGTGACTGGTAGTAAAGCAACTTCATTTTCACTTTTGTATTTTAAGCTGATGATTTACCTGTCGTTGAAGGCCATAGGAAAATGGGGCTTTTTACAAAAAGATGTAATTTGTAACTTTCTTAAAAATTTATTTTAAATCAAAATAATACTTCGAGATAATTTTTATTTTATTTTTTTTAAAGATTTTATTTATTCATGAGAGAGAGAGAGAGGCAGGCAGAGGGAGAAGCAGACTCCCCGCTGAGCAGGGAGCCCGGGGTGGGACTTGATCCCAGGACCCTAGGATCATGACCTGAGCTGAAGGCAGACGCTTAACCGACTGAGCCACCCAGGCGCCCCTCGAGATAATTTTCAAAGTTAGCAACTACTACAGAACTTAAAGGGAAAACAGTAGCTCTCTGTTCCACTTATCATAGCCAAATCCCAGTCCCTAGAGGTGACAACTTTCAACTTTTTTGGATATTTTTTATGAAATGTGCTAGAAATAGAAAAATGTTATTCAGTAGTATGCTTATACTGCTGTTTCATGATTTATACATATGTAAGTCTTCTGACGACTTACCTCAGAAAACTCAGAGGTGAAATTTTCTGATCCCATTTTGCATGAAAAAATGCTTAGTGTAGGTAGTTTAAGGAAAATATAAGGTTTAGAGTCTGTTTAGGCTAATGAGTATCTTATTTATTTGAGAGGGAGAGAATGAGTGGTGGGGAGGGGGAGGGGGAGGGAGAGGGAGAGGGGGAGAGAAGCAGACTCCCTGTTGAGCAGGAAGCTGATGCGGACTCAGGTCCCAGGACTGGCAGATTATGATCTGAGCCAAAGGTAGCCATTTAACTGGCTGAGCCACCCAGGCACCCTTTGGCTAATGAGTATTTTAACAAAATAAGTAGAGGGTAAAATTCAAGCTTTCGACATTGACCAAACAATAATCTTGTAGAAATTATAATGTCCTAATACTTTTCAGTATTGGGTCATTTTGGTTCTTATCTATTAGTTTCAAATCTTGAGAATTTCAGCATTTCTGTGTACCTTTGTGTTACTAATATTTTGCTTAGAAACTTGGATTTTTGGCCAATTTAACCCTAAATCTGTTTTGTACTTTCAGACACACTACCTCATCTATGGGAAGGGGTTTCAGACTTGGGAATATTCCCCAGTTTATGCGATTCGCTCCTATGCTTACCTGTTGCTTCATGCCTGGCCAGCTGCATTTCACGCAAGAATTCTACAAACTAATAAGGTAAGGGCAGGCCAGCCTGGGAGTAATTACACCTGATCAAGAGATGAGTCTCTGGAACAGTTTTCAGAAAAGGACAAAAAAGACTGGTAGGTAGGAGAGGGCTTTTTTTTTTTTTTTTTTTTTGAAGAGTAAGCATTTATTCATTCAGCAAACATTAATGGAACAACTTTGTAAAAATTTTTTATTTTAATTCCAGGATAGTTAACATATAGTGTTATATTAGTTGCAGGTGTACAATATAGTGATTCAGCAATGCTGTATATTACTAGGTGCTCATCAAGATAAGTGTATTTTTAATTCCCATCACCTATTTCAACCCTCATTGGACCCCTGTCCCTTTGGTAACCATCAGTTTGTTTTCTGTAGTTGAGTCTGGTTTTTTTTTTTTGGTTTGTCTTTTTTCTTCATTTTTTGTTTCTTAAATTCCATATATGAGTGAAGTCATATGGTATTTACATGTTTGCAAATGGCAAGATTTCATTCTTTTTTATGGTCAAATAATCCATTGTATGTCTATACCACCTCTTTATTCGTCTATCAATGGACCCTTGGGCTGCTTCCATAATTTGGCTATTGTAAATAATGCTGCAGTAAACACCTCTATATGCATATATCCTTTCAGTTTAGTGTTTTCATTTTCTTTGGGTAAATACCCAGTAGTGCAATTACTGGATCCTATGGTAGTTCTATTTTTTAATTTTTTGAGGTACCTCCATACTGTTTTCCACAGAGGCTGCACAGCTTGCATTCCCACCACCAAGTACACATGAGTTCCTTTTACTCCACATTCTGACTAACACTTATTTCTTGTGATTTTGACCATTCTGACAGATGTGAGGTGATATCTCATTGTGGTTTTGATTTGTGATGAGTGATGTTGAGCATCTTTTCATGTGTCTGTTGGCCATATGTATGTCTTCTTTGGAGAAATGTCTATTCATGTCTTCTGTCCATTTGTTTTTAAAGATTTAGAGAGTGTGCGCAGGGCGAGGGGCAGAGGGAGGGGGGAGAGAGAATCCTGTAGCAGACTCCCTGCTGAGCTGGGAGCCCAACAGAGGGCTTGATCCCAGGACCCTGAGGTCATAACCTGAGCTGAAATCAAGAGTTGGCTGCTTAACCAACTGAGCCACCCGGGTGCCCCGACCTTGCCCATTTTTAAAATTGGATTATTTGTTTTTTCCTTTGTGTTGAGTTGTAGAAGTTTTTTATATGTTTTGGATACTAACTAATGGACCACATTTTGTCTGGTAGGCACTTTAAGTGCTGTGTATGTAACAGTGGCCAAATCCCTGCCCTCATGGAATTTATAGGTTAGTGGGGAGGATGGATGAATATTGAACAAGTAATTATAAATGCAGTGGGTCTTATGGAGGAAAAGTACAGTGTGCAATGGGATAGCATATTAGGAGAGCCTAATTTAAACAGAGTGCTGAAGGATAATTAGGAGTTAATGGAGATCTAACCTGATTACCTTTCAGAAATTTAACTGTGATGCGTCTTGGCATGGATATTTTTGGGTTTATCCTGTTTGGAAATTACTAATCTTGAATCTTTAGGCTTATGTCTTTTGCCAAATTTGGGAAGATTTTAGCTGTTATTTTTCTGAGTATTTTGTCAGCCCTGCTCTGTTTTTCCTCACCTGAGAGTCCAATGATATCAATGTTAGATGTTTAATTATAGTCCCACAGGTCTCTGAGGCCCTATTCGTTTTTTTTCAAGTCTATTTTCTCTGTGTTGATTGAGCAACTTCTAATCTTCCAGTTCACTGATTGTTTCCTCTGTCCCCTCCATTCTGCTCTTGAGCCTATCTGTTGAGCTGCTATTTTGATTATTGTACTTTTTCAGTATTAAAATTTCCATTTGTTTTTTCTTTATAAATTCGGTTGCTTTACTGCCACTTTCTATTTCATGTTTCCAGTGTGTTCTTAATTGCTCATTGAAGCATTTTTACAATGGCTCCTTTACAATTTTGTCAGATAATGCTAACTTTTATCTCATCTTGTTGGTATCTGTTGATTATTTTAATTCAGTTTGAGATTTTCCAAGTGATTTTCAGTTGAAATGTGGACATTTGGGGGATTATGAGACTCTGGATCTTATTCATGGTTCCTCTGCATCTTTGGGTCTTATTGAAGCCTTCTGTTTTGTCTGCTGCTCTTGATACCACTCTAGCAGGAGAAAGGAGGGTGTTTTCCACCTTTGTTATTGCCAGGTGGGGGTAGAAGTTGAGGTTCCTCACTAGGGTAGGGGTACTTCATTACTGCTAGGGTGGGGTGAGGAGGTGAAGTCCAGATTTATCTACGTGGTCTCCACTGACAGTGTGACCAGAGAGGGAGCTTGTTACCACCAGTGAGGATGAAAGTCCTGGCTTCCTACTGGGCCTTTGATGGCATGGGTGGGAGTTGGGATATGCTTTGCTGGAGTAGAGTGGTTATTGTCTAAAGGTTTTCTGTCTTGTTAGGCTACCCCTTTCTTGGCCTTTTGGCGAGATCGACCAGGCTTTGGTTGGTGTTTGTGCTCTTTGGCATTTCTAGTTGTCAACTTCTTTAGTTCTAAGTCTGGGATATAGAAGGTGAAAGAAAACCCAGGGAACTTACCATTATGTTTTTCCTCTGGTCTTAAAGCCCCTAGGCAGTCTACTACTTTCTCTCTACCTTCAGTTGTGGTGGGTTTACTTTACCTGTAATATCCAGAGTTTTTGGTTTCACATAGCAGGAGGAAAAGGGAAAAGTATGGCTGATCCATCTTCCATGAAGCAGAAGTCCCTGAGGAGAGAATTAGAGGGTGAGTAGGAATCATCTAGGTAAAGGAAGAATGGGGATGAGGGAAGAAGGCCATGAGGCTGGGAGGAGGGCCAGCATGGCCTTCTTTTGTAAATAGGCTTGATGCTTGGAAGAGACAGTGAGTGGTGGAGTGGGTTTTGTGATACTGAAAGGTAGGAGGGGGCCAGATTTATACAACACCTGGTAGGCTCTAGTAAGCAGTTAGACTTTTATCCCCCCAAGGGCGTTCTGAAGCCATCCAGAGGTTTTAGACAGAGGATAGACATGATTGCATTTGCATTTTAGACTGATCAGAAAGGTAGCACCTTAGAAAGTGACAGAACTCTGTCCTTCCCTTCCCTATGTAGTAGTTCATTTTTTTTTTTTTAACTTAGCAGAGGAAAGGTGTACAGGATGAGGTCTTAGTAGAGAAATAACAATATGCAATGCTTAAGGCTTTTGTGTCCTCGTGGGTATCCACTGTCACTTCCAATTTGACATGTTCAACAGAATCCTTCATCTCCTAGCACTCTTCCTCTTATATCAATGACATGAGCAGGAAGCAGAACTGGAATGAAGATTTCCTCTTCTTCTTCTTCCTTATAATCTCCTTTCTGTTAGGTTCTGCCAATGGAAGCCAATAGGGGACCACTTGACAAGGAGGAATTAGAGCTTATAGAGTCCCAGGCCCAGCATCATCATGCACAGCCGAGAGGATGGATTGTTGCTGAAAGACAGTCTGGTAATAATTGGCACCCCTAGTGATGGTTACCTTTCCAAATTCTTGCCACCCTAAACAAGAATACCTTTGTTTTGTCTCCTTGTGGATCTGGGTGTCAGTTTCTCTGAACTATATACTCAGCAGTGGGAGCCCATATATATATATATATATATATGTATATATATATATATATGGGCTACTTAATTTCATGGAGTATTGCCAGATTGCCCCCAGCGTGACTATCCAACTTTACACTTCTGCAACAGTGTTCCATGTTTCAGCCACCTCATATTTCCTGAGCACTTGATATTTCTGACTTGTTAATTTTTGCTCTTCTCATGTATGTGAAATGTTTCTCATTCTAATTGCATTTCTTTGATAACTTGTGAGGTGCAACATGTCATTTGTCATTCATATTTCCTTTTCTGTGAATTACGTATTCACATCCTTTGGCTGTTTTTCAATTGGGTTTTCTGGTTTTCTCTCTTGATTTGTAGAAGTTCTCAATGGTCACCCCTTGTAGGTTTTAGATACTGGAAATCTTTTAGGCTGTCACCACTCTATTTTGTCTGTGGACCTTGTGTTGAGCAGAAATCTTTAATTTTGATACAGTTAAGCCAATTAGTTTTTCACTTAAAGGTTGGTGGGTTTTGGGTCTTTCTAAAAGAAATCCTTCACCACAATTCACAAAGATGTTCTTACATATTTTCTTAGCTTATAATTTTACCTGTCACATAAAAGGCTTTAATACATTTGAATATTTTTTTAAAAAGATTTTTAAGTAATCTCTACACCCAGTCCAAACCCCAAGATCGAGAGTCGCATGCTCCACTGAGCCAGCCAGTCACTCCAGTTTGAATATTATTTTTTATAAATTGTAGGAAGATCCAACTTAATTTTTTTTGTGATGTAGTAAACTGGATTTTTCAGTACCACCGATGGAAGAGAATCCAAGAGATACACCTGATAAACCAGTGACACTAATAAGGAAATTCAAGATTTAGATGATAAAATTAAAAAACAAATCAGTTGTATTCCTCTGTATCGACAATTACCACCAAAAAAAAAAAAATATATATATATATAGCAATACAAGATTCCTTTCATAACAGCAACAAAAAGTATGAAGAATGTAGGCGTTAAGCTACCCAAGACTTGGTAAGACTGAAATGGGTACATTTAAGAATTTTATTAGCAGATACAGAAAACCTGACTAAATGGATAAATATATCATCTTAAGGATGGAATGACAAACCTATAAAAATACTGATTCTTATATTAATATATAATTCAATGCAACTCCAATCAAAACCCAACAATTTGGGGGAGAGGCAAACTGTGAAATGATTTTTAAAATACAAATTTTAAAATGGACAAGGTGAGAAATTTATCAACCAGATACTAACACACACACTACAAAGCCATAATAATAAAAACAATAGTACTAAGAATTTGACCAATGACCTAGAATAAGGAGGCCAGAAACAGACCCATACATGTGGGAATAAGGTATATGAGATACAGTATTACAAATCAGAAGAGAAAGGATGGATTATTTAGCAGATGGTACTGAAAAATCTGGTTCACTACATCTGAAGTCCTAGCAGCGTCAAGAATAGTGCTCAGTGTATACTAGGTTTTCAGTATGTTTTTATTAATCTGGCATTTATTGGATTGCCTTATTGAATTCTGTTAGGAATTTTTTGGTTATAGTAATGAAAATGGTACGTATTTCTAAGTTACATGCAGTAATATTAATCATGATATGTATTTAAGTAGTGCTTATTTTCTGAAGTATTCAATGTGCTTAAGTATACCAGTGCACTATAGTATGAAAGGTATTAAATATAACCCCTATTATGTTTATTTTTTAAATTGATGTTCTTAGTTATGAAATTAATAAAATCACAGGTATTTGGAAGATAGGAGGGAAAGTATACACCTAAGTCTCAGCAGCCTGATATGGCCACCTTTACCATTTTACTACATTTATTTTCAGTCATTTCATATGCTTCTGATTTCCAAAGCTGTAATTCTGATGTGTAAATAATATATTGTATATTTTTACCTGGTATTGAATAATTATCTGTAATTACCAATATATTATGGTTGTTTAGGTAATGTTTGTTGAATGCATGAGTTTTATGGCATATGAATTTTTCCACTGTTGCTGTAACTATAAATTTTAAGATCTGTGTAATAGTCCATGAAATCTATGTGCATAATTGATTGAACCATTTCCGCATCATCGGACATCGTGTAGTTTTTTAAAGCAGTTTTTTTCTAACGTAATAGTGATGCACTTACTATTTTCATGAATAGAACTAACCTTCCCTGTTTAGTTCGAGTTACTTCTGCAAGCTGGACTCGTAGAAATAGGTGTACTGGGTCTAGGGGTAGGAATATATGTATGGTCCTTGATACATACTGCTTTTCAAAAGGATTATGCCAATTCAGTGTTACTAATGACAAATGAAAGTGGTTTCATCTTTAAGAGTTTTCTTGTTTTTGTGACTTCTGTCCTGGGTTTCTTTCAGATTCTTGTCTTCTACTTTTTACGATGTCTCCTGGCTTTTGTGAGCTGTATCTGTGAACTTTACTTCTACAAGTGAGTATAAAAGCTTTGCTTCTAAAAGTGCTATGATGGAAACCCAATATAGCGTAAGATTTTTTTCTGATCATAAGCAGTGTTTATAATAGAAAAATAGACTTCCTCCTAGCTCCTGATACTATATTTGAAGGAGGACTTAAAAAATTTTTTCTTGCTTTATTGACATATAATTGAAATGGAACATTGTGTCAATTTAAGATGTACAACATGATTATTTGATAAATGATATGTCATGAAGTACCACAGTAAGGTTAGTTAACACATCTATCACTTCACACTTTGTGGCAAGAACATTTAAGATTTACTCTGTTAGCAACTTACAAATATGTTAATAACGTATTGTTAACTATAGTCACCATGCTGTGTACTGGATCCCCCAGAACTTACTCATCTTCTAACTGGAAGTTTGTACCCTTTGGCCACCATCTCCTAATTTTCTGTCTCCCCTCTACCCCGTGCTTCCCCAGCTCCTAGAAACCACCATTCTATTCTGTTTCACAAGGCTGGCTTTTTTTTTAGATTCCACCTGTGAGATCATGCAGTATTTGTCTTTCACTCTTTAACATTTCACTTAGCATAATGCCCTCAAGGTCCATCCATGTGTTGGAAGTGGTAGGATTTCCTTTTTAAATTTATGACTGAATAATATTCCATTGTACATGTATACCACATTTTCTGTTCTTCATAGATAGACATCAAGGTTGTTTCTATGTCTTGGCTGTTGTGAATAGTACTGCAGTAAACATGGGGGTACAGATATCCCTTTGAGATAGTGATTTCATGTCCTTTGGATGTATAACCTGAAGTGGGATTGCTGGATCATACGGTAATTCTATTTTTAATTTTTTGAGGAAAGAAGTGGGACTTCTTGTTTTGAAACAAACTGTTGGGGGGAATACTTCTAATTATCACTTTCCTTCCTGAGGTTCTTAAATTCCATATCTTCATATAAAGTTAGGTTAATACATGAGTAACTGGTGTTTTGTTTGGTAGGATTTAGTGGAGCCTTATTTTTGGTTGCAAATACAGAATCATGATTTACCTCTTCCCCTTGAGCTTGGATGATAGGAAATTATTCCCGTTGTGGGACTCATTGCTCTTACTTGCACCCAGTACATTGTCTTTCACCAAGTGCCTGTTGGTTGATTGAGTATTAGTGAAAGTATTGAGCATTTAAGTGTTGCAGTAATAAAAATAGCCATTTTTTTTTTACATGCAACCTAACATTTTAAGAATGCTTTAAAAAGTATTTAGACTTAATAATCATTATTAAAAATGTCCCCACTGGAAAACAGCTAAAAATGTCAGATACAGAAATTCTTTGGCCTGGACTCTCGGTGGAGCAGAGGAGAAGGAAGCAAGCATTGCCGGCTTTGGTAACCATACACTGGTCTGCATTATTGGTTCAGGACTGAATTCACATCACCTTACATGGTCCCCCCCAAATCCCAAGTTGAGTATTTTAAATTGTTCTGGATTGGTAGTACCTGTAGGCATCTTGCAAAAACAAATGGAAAGTTTCTCCAGAAGGCTGGATCTTTAACCCAGGTGTCAAAGAATTACTACAAATAAAGTAATAGTGAACAAGAAACTGTAATAAAAATCACAAAGCACGGAAGAGATCAAGACGTTGTACATGAGAACCAGCAGAAATAACAGAAAGCTGACATGCAAAACTTCACTTACTAGGAATTACTAAAATAAGAACATAAAATATATTTGATATTTCTAAAAAAAAAAGAAGGAATTGAAAACACGAATAAGAAACAGAGCCTCAATAATCCATAGAGTGAAAGGGAATTTAGAGAATGGGAGGAAATATTTGGCAAACCATAATCGGAAAAGAGGTTCAATTCCAAAATATAAGGAACTCCTACAACTCAATAGCAAAAAAAAAAAAACCCTATTTTTTTTTTTTTAAAGATTTTATTTATTCATTTGACAGAGACACAGCGAGAGAGGGAACACAAGCAGGGGGAGTGGGAGAGGAGAAGCAGGCTTCCTGCTGAGCAGGGAGCCCGATGTGGGGCTTGGTCCCAGGACCCTAGGATCATGACCTGAGCCGAAGGCAGGCATTTAACGACTGAGCCACCCAGGCGCTCCCAAGAAAAACCCTATTAATCTGATTAAAAAGGGACTAAGAACTTCAATAGACATTTTTTAAAGAAGATACACACTTAGCCAGAAGGAATATGAAAAGATATACAGTGTCACAGATCATCAGGGAAATGCAAATCAGAATCACAATGAACTATAACTTCATATTTGTTAGAATGGCTGTTATCAAAAAAACCCAAAAAGCAAAAATAGGTGTTGGCAAGGATGTAGGATTGGAACCTTTGAGCCCTGTTGATGGGAATGCAAAATGGTATAGCCACTGTGCAAAACTGTATGGAAGTTCCTCAAAAGAAATAGAACTACCATATGATCCAGCAGTCAGACTTCTGGGTATTTATATAAAAGAATTGAAACAGGATTTTTTTTTAATTTATTTTTTTCTTTTATGTAGTGTTCCATGATTCATTGTTTGCGTACAACACCCAGTGCTCCATGCAATACATGCCCTCTTTAATACCCATTACCGGGCTAACCCATCCCCCCAACCCCCTCCCCTCTAAAACCCTCAGTTTGTTTCTCAGAGTCCGTGGTCTCTCATGGTTCGTCTCCCCCTCCGATTTCCCCGCATTCATTTTTCCCTTCCTACTATCTTTTTTTTTTTTTTAAACATATATTGTTTCAGAGGTACACGTCTGTGATTCATCAGTCTCACACAATAGCACATATCCTCCCCAATGTCTATCACCCAGCCACCTCATCCCTCCCACCCCCCACCACTCCAGCAACCCTCAGTTTGTTTTTCAGAGACCATCGTGTCTCATGGTTCGTCTCCCCCTCCAATTTCCCCCCCTTCATTCTTCCCCTCCTGCTATCTACTACTATTTTTTTTTCTTAACATATACTGCATTATTTGTTTCAGAGGTACAGATCTGTGATTCAACATTCCTGCACAATTCACAGTGCTCACCATAGCACATACCCTCCCCAATGTCTATCAACCAGCCACCCCATCCCTCCCACCCCCCACCACTCCAACAACTCTCAGTTTATTTCCTGAGATTAAGAATTCCTCATATCAGTGAGGTCATATGATACATGTCTTTCTCTGATTGACTTATTTCGCTTAGCATAATACCCTCTAGTTCCATCCATGTCGTTGCAAATGGCAAGATTTCATTTTTTTTTTGTTGGCTGCATAGTATTCCATTGTATATATGTACCACATCTTCTTTATCCATTCATCTGTCATTCGACATCTTGGCTCTTCGCATAGTTTGGCTATTGTGGACATTGCTGCTATAAACATTAGAGCGCACGTACCCCTTCGGATCCCTAAATTTTTATCTTTGCCTTCAGATCACTATATTTGTATTTTGGGGTAAATACCCAGTAGTGCAATTGCTGGATCGTAGGGTAGCTCTATTTTCAGCTTTCTTTGCTGTGCAAAAGCTTTTTATCTTGAAGTCCGAATAGTTGCTTCCCTTGCCTTTGGCGATGTTTCTAGGAAGAAGTTGCTGCGGCTGAGGTTGAAGAGGTTGCTGCCTGTGTTCTCCTCTAGGATTTTGATGGATTCCTGTCTCACATTTAGGTCTTTCATCCATTTTGAGTCTATTTTTATGTGTGGTGTAAGGAAATGGTCCAGTTTCATTCTTCTGCATGTGGCTGTCCAGTTTTCCGGACACCGTTTTGAAACAGGATCTTGAAGAGGTATCTGCACTTCAGTGTTCTTTGTAGTGTTATTCACAGTAGCCAAGATTGGAAACAACTTAAGTGTCCTTTGACCGATAAATGGGGGAAAGTGTGGTATATATACATAGAATGGAATATTCAATCTTGAAGAAGGAAATCTGCAGTGTGTGACAGCATGCATGAACCTTGAGGATGCTGTGCTAAGTGAGCTAACCAGTTATAGATGGACAAACACTGCATGATTCTACTTATGGGATTCTAAAATAGTCAAACTCGGGGCGCCTGGGTGGCTCAGTTGGCTAAGTGTCTGCCTTCAGCTCAGGTCATGATCCCAGGGTCCTGGGATCGAGCCCCGCGTCGGGTTCCCTGCTCAGCGGGAAGCCTGCTTCTTCCTCTCCCACTCCCCCTGCTTGTGTTCCCTCTCTCGCTGTGTCTCTGTCAAATATATAAATAAAATCTTCAAAAAAAAAAAAATAGTCAAACTCATGGAAGCAAAGCATAGGTTGGTGGTTGCCAGGGGCTGGGCGGAGGGGGAAATGGGAAATTGCTAATCAATGGGTCCAAATTTTCAGTTAGTGCTAGATGAGTAAGTTCTAGAGAGCTACTGCACAACATTGTGTGGATAGTTAACAGTACTGTATCGTATGCTTAAAAATCTGTTAAGAAAATAGACCCTCCAATTACCTGTTCTTACCACAATACAATAAAGAAGATAAAAGGAAAAAAGGAATGAGAGTATGAAGATAACCCAGCAGATCTGAGAAAGAACCAAATAGAACTAGAAATGAAAGTAGCGGAATTGATACTTAAAATGCAGTGGTTAGACGTGCCTGGGTAGCTCAGTCGGTTAAGCGTCTGCCTTGGGTTCAGGTCGTGATCCCAGGGTCCTGGGATGGAACCCCACTTCGGGTTCCCTGCTCAACAGGGAGTCTGCTTCTCCCTCTGCTTCTGTCCCCACCATCCCTTACCCACCCCCCCGCTTCCGCTCTCACACACTATCGCCAATAAAAATCTTTTTTTTTTAAAGATTTTTATTTATTTATTTGACAGAGATACAGGGAGAGAGGGAAAACAGGGGGAGTGTGAGAGGGAGAAGCAGTCTTCCCGCCGAGCAGGGAGCCCGATGTGGGGCTCGATCCCAGGATCCCGGGATCGTGACCTGAGCCGAAGGCAGACGCTTAACGCCTGAGCCACCCAGGTGCCCCTCAAATAAAAATCTTAAAAAAAAAATGCAGTGGTTAATTTGAACAGCTAGACAGTAACATGCAAACTAGAAGATTGATCTGAAGAACTCAGAATGAAGTTCAGAGTGACAAAAGGGAAATATGAGGGAAATGTAAGGGAAATACAAAGATGTTAAACATGTATCGACAGATTCAATCAGATTCTAGGAGAGGATAGAACAGGGAAAGGCAGTATTTAGGGAAGTAATGGTTAAGAATTTCCACAACTGATGAAAAAAAAGATGCTAATTCATAGATTCAGGGAGCCTAACATATCCTGAGCTAGATTAGTAAGGAATTAGTGAAACCACGGAGAACACCAAGGGCAAAGAAGATCTTAAAAGTTGACAGAACTAATAGAAGACCTACAAAGGAATGTTAGTTAGATAACAGAAGCCTTCTCAAAAGCCAGAAGATAAAAAAAACTTCAAAGTGCTCAGAGAAAACGATTGTCATCCTAAAATTGTGTACTGAGCTAAGTCATCTTTTAAAACCAAGAGCTTAGTAAGGATTTTCAAAAAAAAAAGAAAAAGGGGGGAATTTGCCATTAACAGATCCTTACTAAAGGAACTTACAAATAGGAAGAAGCAATATTATTTCAGAAAGCAGCTCTGAGATGCACTAAGGACCCTGAGCCAGGAGACCGTTAACACAGGGGTATGTCTGCACAAATGTGGACTAAAGGAAGCGGTAATCATTCCTAAGAATGTTTACAGGGTTAAAAACCTCCAAGAAGGAAGTAAAGGAAGTGTGTAATTGCTTGGGTTTGAGAAACATGGACGTAGAGAACTGCTTATTAACGCTTTGTGTGTCCTTTTTGTCTGATAACTACCATTTATCGAGCAGCCCTGTTCCAGGCACTCTTCTGAGCGCTTTTCCACGCTTTGTGCTCATAGGAGTCTGACAAAGTAGGCATTCTCATTATCCTCACTTGACAGGTGAGGAATCTGACAGAGGGATTTTGTCACTAGACCAGGGTACTGCTGCTCGTAAGTGGCGGAGCCCAAATTTGAACCTGTGCCGCCCGTCTGAATCTGAGGCGTTTTCCTGTTGATTAGTATACATGATCTTAGCATGGAAAAGATACATTTCCTCCTAGGCAGAGAGTTTCTCTTCTGCTTAAAGAGTAAGAATATTTGGGTTTGTTTTGCACACAAAATTGCTAACCTGTCCAGGCAGTTCTGTGTTTGACTTTAGATCTTCAGTGTTCTCTGTGATGCAGGCATGTTTTTTTCCTTTGATTTGAAATGTCTGTCCTTAAGACTGGCTATGCTGATGGTCTTTGCCTTTCTCCTAGGGCTGTGTGCAAGAAGTTTGGGCTGCATGTGAGTCGAATGATGCTAGCCTTCTTGGTTCTTAGCACTGGCATGTTTTGCTCCTCATCAGGTAAGTAAAAGGGCAGGTGAGGGCATAACAGGTGCGCTGAACTTTCATAGTTGCATTGAAAGGGAGAACTTGTGTAGGCATAGGTTATGTTTGGATGCATATCAGTAATTTGCAGAGCACTGTTTTCTACATGATCTTCATCAACCCTTACAGCAATTTTGTGTTAGGGGTAAGAAACATTTTCTCATTTTTGCAGATGAGGTTATGGAAATTGAGAAAAGTGAAATGACTTACTGGGAGTCAACTCATAAATAGCAGAGCTTTCTATTTCATGTTGCTTTCTATTACATTATTTTATATATATATTTTTATTACCATAAGGCTGAAAAACACCAGCACCCTCTGCCTTTCCTTGCTGTTAGGGGAAGAGAAATAATTTTGTTATCTTGCTCTTGTGTCTAAAAACCGTGTTCTTCATGATTCCGCTTTCTGCCCATTATTTGCAATGTATTCTATAAAGGTATGTATCCTCTGTTGGGCTTTTTTTTTTTTTTTAACAGTACACTTAAAGAGAATTAGACTATAACCTTAGAGTGGTAGCTTGCAAGTTGGGCTGCCATTGACTATTTCTGTTCTCTGAGCCATGGTGGCCTGCTGCCAAAAGGTAGCCTGTTTCCACTTTTCTGGAAAAATTAAGCTACTAGATATAATAATTTCAATTTTAATTTCTGTTTGTGTGTACCAGAATCTGGTATACACATGAAATATACATAAAAATAGTGTTCAGCACAAAAGTGTATATTTAACTTCATTGACTGTATCAAAATCTATGTGGTTGTGCAGAGACCTTATGAGAGTCCCTGTCCTCAGTGAGACTGTGCTCTCCCCTCCAGGCCGGCAGAGACCTCCGATTTCTCTGCTCCTTTGTCCTCTGCATTGGCAGCTGTAACTGACAACTTCGGATAGCATCAATATTATTTGGCATTTATCTGTGAAGCTTGTACCTCATGTTTTTTTGGTTACTTTGCTACTGCTGAAGTTGATTCTTAGGAGAGGGAGATACTCAGGAGTACCTTTAGCTTTGTCATCTCAGATGAGAATGAGAAAGCACAGAGAAGTTCAAAGCATCCTTTGATACACAGCCTCTAAACCCTTTACTGAGTTTGGGAGATCATACGGCCTATTTGTGGTCCTTGCCTCATGCTGATGTTTCTTCCCTAGTGCTAGGTGAAGCAGGCCTATACAGCCTGGAGAGGCAGATCTGCATTTTTGTGTAAAATTGTTAGAAACGCTGATCAGATGTTACTGTTGCAGAGACCGCAGAGACCCTGAAAGTACTCAGTTCCTCTGCTGCTTACTACAACAAAGTAGTGCTAAGTCGAAGTAACTAGGGGACGTCTACAGGCCGAACTATCTATGTCCATCGATGCAGGATGCAAAGCAGGGTTGCCATCCAATATTTGGCCCTTGAGAAGGCTTCCCAGAATTCCTAGAGGGTAATGGTTAGTGCCAGGACAGTCTCAGAAGACTATCAGAAGATAAACTGCTTCAGAAATAGTCAGCAATGTTCTAAATTTCATGCAGCATATTCCCTGCCTGGAGGTATAACCTGGAATTCTCTAAGTTTTGGATTTGGGGTACCGGCCAGGAGAGGAATGGCGTGCTTGGCATTGTATAACTAAGCATGTGTTGGTACCTTAAAAAAACAAGAGTGAGAAAATAAAAATTATTGAACTTCATTTTTTTTTTTAAGGAGTATCACTTTACTGCACAATTCTAATATATTGTTCCTCAAAATATGTTGGTTATTAACCATCTGAGCCACCCAGGTGCCCTCAAAATATGTTGGTTATTGACATCGTGCAATGTGGGTAAATTTTTAATAACACCTAATAAACCTCAAACTCTTGTCCCTCCCCCTCCCTTTGTGCTCCCCGTTTCTTTTTACTCTTGCAGCATTCCTTCCTAGCAGCTTCTGTATGTACACCACATTGGTGGCCATGACTGGCTGGTATATGGACAAGACTTCCGTTGCTGTGCTTGGAGTAGCCGCTGGGGCTATCTTAGGCTGGCCATTCAGTGCTGCTCTCGGGTAAGGGACTAACACAGTTCATCTTCCTTGTATCCCTGGGCACATAGTAAATCTCCATGTTAGCTTATCTCCATGTTCTCTGGTAATGACCTAAAGTTACAGGAATGAGTTGGACTTACAGAGATTATGGGAAATGGAAGAATATTTCTCTTGGTGCATATTGTTGATTAATTCTAGTAAGAATAGTAACTATTAAGTCTCTGGTGCTAAACCCCTTAGAAACTGTATTCCTAAGCCTTACAACAGCTTTGCAGGAGAAATACAATCATTAGTGCTTTATTTTCTTAATTTTTATTTTTTAAATAATTTATTTGAGAGAGAGCATGTGCATGAGTTGGGGAGGAACAGAGGAAGAGGGCCAAGCAGACTCTGCACTAGGCTTGATCCCAGGACCTTGGATCACTACCTGAGCCAAAATCAAGAGTCAGTCGCTAAACTGACTAAGCCATCCAGGTGCCCCAATCATTAGTGCTTTATAAATGAGAAAATAGAGTCCAAGAGGGTAATTTGCCTTTAAGATTATGCTGGGGCACCTGGGTGGCTCAGTTGGTTAAGCACTGACTCTTCATTTCGGCTCAGGTCGTGATTTCAGGGTTGTAAGATCAAGCCCTGCATTGGACTCTGTGCTCAGCGTAGAGTCTGCTTGAGATACTCTCTCCCTTGTCCCTCTCCCTGCTCTCTCTCTCTCTCTCTCTCTCTCTCTAGTGTTTTTAAAAAAAAAAAAAAAAAAGGGCACCTGGGTGGCTCCATTGGTTAAGCGACTGCCTTCGGCTCAGGTCATGATCCTGGAGTCCCAGGATCGAGTCCCGTGTTGGGCTCCCTGCTCAGCGAGGAGCCTGTTTCTCCCCCTAACCCTCCCCTCTCTCATGTACTCTCTCTCTCAAATAAATAAATAAAATTAAAAAAAAAAAAAAATGTTTGCTTTAGGACCCAGGCCTCCCTGAGCCTGCCGCTGGTGTGTTTTCCACACCACACCATTCTGTGCGGTGCGTTTCCCACTCACCAGGCCTGACACTGGACACTCCTCTTGTATTCCCTGTTCCCACCACTTCTGCTCTAGTCTGTGCTGCCTTCACTTCTTACCTGTACTGCTAGTAATTTAGAAAAATACTGTACTTTGATGTGAAGGTTATTATAGTACAGTTGACCCTAACCACAAGGAGGTTAGGGGTGCTGACCCCCTGCACTGTTGAAAACCTGCATGTCACTTTTGACTCCCCAGAAACTTTACAATAGCCTATTGTTGACAGAAGCCTTACTGATAACTTAATTAACATGTATTTTGTATGTTGCATGTATTATATATTCTTATAAAATAAGCTAGAGAGAAGAAAATGTTACCATGAAAATAAAGAAGAGAAGATATATTTACAGCACTGTACTATATTTATTAAAAGACCCCGTATATATGTGGACCCACACAGTTTAAACCCATGTTGTTCAAAAGTCAACTGTAGTAGTATATTTTTATTATAAAAAAAGTTCCAGGGGCGCCTCGGTGGCTCAGTCGTTAAGCATCTGCCTTCGGCTCAGGTCATGATCTCAGGGTCCTGGGATCGAGCCCCACATCGGGCTCCTTGCTTAGCGGGAGGCCTGCTTCTCCCTCTCCCGCTCCCCCTGCTTGTGTTCCCTCTCTTGCTGTGTCTCTCTCTGTCAAATAAATAAAATCTTAAAAAAAAAAAAAAAATTCCAGTTTGTATGAGGTAAAAAGAATTCTTAATTCTCTTTTCCCCTAGTCTAATCTTCAAAGGTAGTCACTAATACTTTTGTATATCTTTCCAGAAATTGTCCATGTGCATACATACCGTAAATTCTTAGAATAATCCTGTAACTATATATATCTTCTATGTATGTAGACTTAGTTCTTTGTGTGGGTTGCATAGCATTCTATTATCTGACCATAATTTAGCCATTGCCTTATTGGTAGATATGTGGTTTTGTTTTTTGCTATGATGTACAATGCTTCAGTGAACATTTTTGTACATATGTCTATACGTTTATGGAAATTTATGGGGTAAATTTTTAGGAGAGTTAAAGGTATTCTAGAGGACAGGTATTCTAAATTTTCTTAATTGTGTTTTAAAGGCCGGTTTCCCCACCTCCAGTCTTCTATTTTGCATATCATCAAAATAGAGATTTTGTGTGAGGCCGTCTTCTATCTTTTCTCCTATCTTTCAACCATCTTGATGATTCTCATATCTTGAATCTGGTCCAGTCGTCTCATATGTTCCTGGTTGCCTATTAGATATCTCCTTTTCTACAGCTAAACATTTACAAAACCGAGCTCATCACCTTCTCTCCATACCTGTGCTTTTAGCTATGTTTCTAACTCAGTAAATGGTACCACCATCTCCTCAGTGCTGAACCAGGAACCTGAAAATTACCTGTGACTCTTTCTCCTCTGTCCTATTTATTGTACCTCCTGAATATCTTGAATCTGACTACTCTTCTTCACCTCTGCTCCTGGGTTACCAGACAGCCTCCTAAATGATCTTCCCATCTCTAGGCTTGATCTCTGTAAATCTGCTCTCCACAAACTATAGAGTTATCGTCCTAAAATGCAAATATGATTATATCACTCCCTGTTTTGTTTTAAACTCTATAATAGCTTCCCCATTCCTCTGTGTCACAGAGGCTGGTAACCTGTGACCCGTGGGCCCAGTCTAGCTGGTCATCTTTTGTATAGCCCAAGAACTAAGAAGTTGTCACATTATAAAGGGTTGCTAACAACACACACTACTGACAGACACAGAATATGCAACAGAGACCATATATGGCCTGTAAAGCCTAAAATACATACTGCTAGGTCCTTTAATTAAAAAGCTTGCTACCCCCTGCTCTGTGGTGTCCAGATTCTAACATGACCCACAAAGTCCTGATCTTCCCTCCTTTTTACCTCTCCAACTGTTTTTGTCAGTTCCTCTGTTCCTTTTACTCTGCACCATTGACATTGAACTTTGTGAGTTCTTCAAATACCTCTGGGTGGCACATTTTGATTGGTCTGCCTTTAGCCAAGATAAGGGATTTCAGGATTGCTGTCAGTTCGCAGTTTACCATCATTTACTGAATACTTTGTGTTAGGCGCTGCTGATACTTTGATAAAGAAGAGAGTTATGGTTCTTGCTCTTCTGGAGCTTACATTTTAGTAGGAAAAACAGACATTGAACAAGTAACTAAAAGTATGATTACTTACCAGAGGAGAAGTAGAGATGCCATGGAAATATTAACTAGTTGGGCAGAAAAAAATGAAAACACAAATGTTAATGCAAAATTTAGATAATAGAATGTGGAAGTTCATATCACAGAAGAAATACCTTGTGATAGCACATGGCATTGCTAAATAAATGACAGAGATGGTAATGCCATGTGAATTCAGAGGCAGGAGAAATTGGTTCTGCAGAGATTGTTCTGCAGAGGAGTCGAGAGCAGAGCCTGTAGTGGACATTTGGGTAAGGTCTGTAGAAACAGACTGGTATGGGGAGGGAATTCCTTATGACTGGAGCATGGGTAAGGATTCTGACTAGTGTTCTAGATTTGGAGGTCATGGTTATGGAGGTGATTGTTCATGTAAGAGAGGGAGTACCTACTGAGAAAATGAGTGTAGAGAAAGAAGAGTAGAAGTTTGCTTCTAGGACCTAGGACCATGGTAGGGCACAAAAAAGACATCTAGAAAGGAGCGCTTGGGAAGAGGCCAGAAAAGAACAGGAGCCAGGAAGCCTAAAGAGGAGGAAGAGATGCTTTGTGTCAAGTGCTGCAGAAAGACCAAAGGAGGTGAAGCTCGGGAAGAGTTACCGGGTCTGGAGGAGAGGAGGTTCCTGGTGACCTTACATCCATCTCACGAACTTGAAGCCAGGCCTTCAGGACAAAGTAGTGAAGGCAACATACATACACCACGTGCTTGAAGAATTTAAGTGAAAGGGAGAAGAGCAAATGGTGTTGGAAGGAAATATATCAGAACTGATATATCAAAGTTTATAGTGTTATTAAAACCTTTATAAATCATGGAAGAGATGAGTATTCATTTGGCCGGGTGGGTGTAGGACCACAGGGCACATTCACTTACAGTTCATATATTTTGAATGTCTGCTACACATAAATATATATAAAATGGAGCTCTTTCCATAAGCTCAGTATTAATATTTCTTGTGTATTATGGGGTGCAAAGTACTCTCGTGGGCTCTATGAAGAGAGCACTATATTGTTGAGAAGACATCCTCTCCTATATCAGCTTTCTTTCCTCAGTGTTAATGGCTAGAGACATTTTTTTTCCCGTTCAGCATGACGTATGTGTGAATCTGACTTGTTTGAGTCTATATTCTAAGTATTTTATTTAATTCCCTGTTTTGTTTCTCTGTTAAATAGTTTACCCATTGCCTTTGATTTGCTGATCATGAAACACAGGTGGAAGAGTTTCTTTCATTGGTTTCTGGTGGCCCTAATACTCTTTCTGGTGAGTTTTATTTTTTCTTTGTTTTGTTTTAAAGTTGTAATGAAAGCATGTTGATGTAGGAAAGAGAATATGAGGAATTCATTCTGTTTTTCATTTTGAAGTTTATTCTGTTAGCATTGGGAGAATGTTTCCAGAACAAAATCCTGCAATTGGTGTCTATTTTCTGTTCTGTCGTAGGTGCCTGTGGTGGTCATTGACAGCTACTACTATGGGAAGCTGGTTGTTGCACCACTGAACATCATCTTGTACAATGTCTTTACTCCTCATGGACCTGATCTTTATGGTAAGGCCTTAGGGAATCTGGGGAAGAGTAGGAGATAGCTTCATTTGCCTGAGCTTTGAAATTTCAGCTCAGTTGCTTTATTTCCTGAAATACAGCATTTCTTTGCTGGTAATTTTAATTAAAAGTAAATGACATTTGCATATAGCACAGTGATGATAAGTAGCCAGTAAATATTTCTTCTTGATTAATGTGATTCCTTCCTTCCTTCCTTCCTTCCAAGATTTATTTGAGAGAGAGAGTGCGCTCACAGATGAGTGTGGGGAGGGGCAGAAGGAGGAGAGAAAAACCTCAGCAGACTTCTCACTGAGCAGCCCCAATGCGGGGCTTTATCTCAAGATCCTGAGATCATGACCGGAGCTGAAACTGAGAGTTGGATGCTTAAGTGACTGAGCCACCCAGGCACCCTTTGATTAATGTGATTTCTGTTAGTCCTGCTGTCATTCTCAGCATGCCATGGCTCTTGATGCTACTTTTTTAAATTAAAAGTTACTTTTTTCTGTTTTCATTAGAAAACCAGTATGACAACAGAAATAGGAAAATAGAAACACTCACAATTCCATTATCTCCAGATGGCTGTTGTTAACAGCTTGGAGTATATTCTTCCAGAGGTTTTCTGGACATAGACACATTTGGTATTACTTGTTCTTTTTAAAATTTGCATTCGGTATCAGGCATTAGGAGAGAAAGTTTGGAAAATGTGTAGACAAAGCAGAGCAAATGGTAGAGTCAGCATGAGAGGGGGGTAGTTTGGCCAGTTTAGGGTTGAGAGGAAAAAAGTGAGATGCCTTTAGTCTGGGGAAGGCGTTCTCCATCACCGGCCCCCCCGCGCCACGCCTTATCCTCAGCTAACCCTGAGCCTGTTTTATTTTGCCCTCTGGGGCATTTGAGTTAGACAGTTATAGAGGGATGACCTAGAGATCTTCCTGGTCAGATCTGCCATTTTATGAGACTGTTTTTTCATTAAAATAAGTGTAGTTTCTTTTGCATTAATTTTCTGAAGGTCTTGAAGCATTTTGTGTAAGTGATCATCTTAGGGCTCTGCTGTGAAGCAGGTTAATAAGACCTCTGTGTCTTATCAGTTTAAGCCATGTCCATCACTTTTCTGTGATACTTTGCCAACAGAACCAACAGATTGGATGAGGAGATTTAAAGTAAGCATATGAGTGAGATTTAACTGGACCTGTTGGGATTTGTGGAATATTGTTATTTTAGAGGGCAGTAGGTAATAGGTCAAAATCATGTTTTGTTCAGTGACCTGAATTCACAAACTGCCTTGTTTAGAGAATAATTGCTAAGTGAAGGAATTTTAATTCTTTTTAAAGTTTAAATAATCTCTACACTCCACATGGGGGTCCACCTCACAACCCCAACATCAGGAGGCACACACTCCTCTGAGTCAGCCAGGAGCTCCCTAAGTGAAGGAATTTTAAAAGGTGTTATACACAACTAATGAATTGTTGAACATTACATCAAAGACTAATGATGTACTATATTTTGGTTAACTGAACATAATAAAAAAGAAATAAAAGGCCCTTTTAGGACTGACCAAGATCCCCAAGGATGTGAGAAAAAGCTGCAATTTTAAGCTTTTGCCTCTAGATGTCTCCCTTTAGCTAGAGAGAGTTTGTATGTTTGTAATTGCCCCTTGTTTTAGTTGCCTTGTAAAATTTTATTTGGTTCTACAAGTCAATAGAAGGAAGACTCCCCTCTTAGACCCAGACTGCACACTAGAAATTGATTTACTGGAATCTATTGGAAGCATAATATGCATTATATATGGGTGAATAAGTTCTGTTAATTTCAATTTAATTTTGGGAAACTGGCATTACCTTTTAAACAGGTTATTACATAATGACGTTTTGATTGCTCATTTATAAAACTTTGAGACTATATGAAAGCAGTTGCTGAGATAGATGAGGTTTATAAATCTAGTAATTTACAGGTTGGCCAGGAGAATAGAAAAGAAAGAATAAATTCTTGTTTATGTTTCTGGTTTAACAGTGGCTGGGTGGGGGATCTTTGTTTTGGGATCCAGCAGAGACGTGGCCAGTCTTTCCTTGGATGTTGGCATCTGCCATTCATTTTGGCCAGTGCTTGCCTGGGAGGAGTGCCTGGAGCTCTGTTCTGCCTGCTTTGATGAACCTGGGATGACTTCAGTGCAGATCTTGCTATTTTGAATGTACAGGAACTGATCACTTTCCTAGTGATGGAAAAAGCTCTGTTGGGACAGAACGCATTGTCTTACTGGGTGTCAACAGGACTGATGCAGTGCTATAGTCAGACTTGAGGGGGTTGTTCCTTGATGGTAGAATTTTTGTGCTTTTACCTCATCTTTGAATTTGACAATTTTGGGGTGGGGTTGATTTCCATTCTTTTAAAGAGTAATTAACTCCTTCTGCAGAGAAAATACTTCTTACATCCTAGAAGTAAGTGTTCTTTGTGTGTTCTAGGTCCTCAATAAAGATTTGTCATGATGAATAGATGGGTGAACAAATTTGGGAGTATCCATCAGATTATATTATGCCCTGATCACTCTTCTGTCCTACAGCTATTTTGGTTAGACCTGTTGTGGTGTATTAGATTGGAATTTTTTTGATACCAAATAAAAATAATAGAGGTAAAAGTACTTTTTAAAAAAATTATTTCATTTTATTTTTTAATTAACATATAATGTACTAGTTTCAGAGGTATGATGATGAATCACAGGTCTGTGATTCATCAGTTGTACATAATTCACAGTGCTCACCATAGCACATGGTAAAAGTACTTTTTAAAGCAGAGTACTTTGATTGTCAGCTAACTTATAATGGGTGAGTCCATTCAGTAAATACCAAAGACTGACTTTTTAATAAATGCTTTGATGCTGACGTCAAACAGTGAGACAGCGTATCTTTTGTCATGGAAACTCCAGCTCTTTCACTTTGCCTACATGTTTGGCACTAATTAGCATTATTTTGACTATTTTGTAAGATTTTCCTGCTCCAAGTGCTTCATTGGCTATGGTAGGCACGTTTCTTATCTGAAAATTACAAACGCATTGTGTTGATAGTTTCTGCCTTCATGTCTTAGTGCTGTTACTTATATATAAGCCTGTAATACTTCTTGAACAGATAGTTAACTGGATTTCAGCTAAAGAAACATTGAATAAATTGCCTTTGAGTATTTGTGTCCTCATAGAATTTGCTGTGCAATAAGGCTGCAGTTACAGGAATAGATAATTATAGTTCAGTGTATTATGTGCTCCAGTAGAAAGATGGGGAGTCCTAGGAGCAAGTCCAGCTGGTGGTAGCAAGAAGACTTCTTAGAGGTGGTGGTTCTTGAGCTAAGCCTGGAAGGAAGTAAAAGTTTAGTGAGTAGATGCTAGAGGAGTGTATTTCAGACAACTACGATGTCTAGTGTAGGTACTGCTGAGACAAAAGATTGAACATTGGATTCTTTTTTTAAAAAGCTAAAGTAGTTTTACAGTGTTAGCTGATTTTAGGTAGAAACTGCACAGGCATGAGCAAGATAAATTCAGTCTGTCCACTGTGATTATAATAGAAATATTTACTCTGGTGTTCCTGGTTTTCCAAGGGACCGTTCGATACTTTCTTGGCCAGAGAGCATTTATTAATGACACAGTCCAGACCTGAGCTGACTCTTTGGAAACCAGGAGAAAGAAAAGGAGTACACTTTCACAACTATTAATTACAATAGTTTCTGTTTAAAAAAAAAAAATGCCTGTTATATAGTAAAAATTTTACACTGCTGTCTTCTTCCCCTCACAAAAACTCTGAGATAGGCGTTATTTATTCTTACTCGCAGCTGTGGAAACTAAGGTGGGGATGGTGAGGGACTTGCACATAATTAATAAGTGGCAGAAGTGGGATAAGAGCCCAGGGATGTCTGACTCCAAAGCCTGTGTTCTTTCCATCGAGAACAACCTCAGCAAAACCCTGGAGTTTGGCAATTGAGACTGTACAGGAGAATAAGCTTGCAGAAACAGAGCATGTGTTGGAGATAGTAGAAGATAAGATTTGATCTAAAGAAGGGGCAGGAAGTACCTGTACCTTTGAAGGTCCCGTGCACTCGGGCTTGGGGGATGCTCAGGAGCCTTTGGAGAGCTTCACTGGCACGATGCCATGCACACTGGCAGGCTCTCTTTCACATGGGAGGAGCATTGCGCTGCCCTTGTCAAAGAAGGAATATTTGACGAGGTAAAGAATACTTGGCATTTAGGAAATTTAGTGTAGACATAAAATTGCAAAGTTGTAGGCAAAACATCCCTTTGGTGTCAAAGATCAAGAAGTGAAATTTCATGTTGCAAGAAAGAAAGTGACTGGTCAAGGCACTGATTTTGCTCTTACCCTTGTAACATTTCAAGTTCGTAGATGTTGAGGTTGATAAGTATTTTTGTGTGGTGAGTGAAGAATGTGCTCTCTGAGGAGGAGTACACAGGCCTGGGGAAGGTGTGGGAGGACAGGTCTGAGAAATGCTCTTCCCTCAAAAATGACACTGAGTCTGCTCAAGGATGCCACTTCGCAGCTCAGGACACGATCCCTGCCTGTTTCTGTGTTTTTATCCACATCTGTCAGATTGCTGGACAGGACATTTCGGAAGGCAAAGGCAAATGGCCTTTATTAAAAGGCTCAAAGTTTTCCATTCTTGCGGTAGCAGAGGATGCAGCCTCCGTGAGTCTCTTGAGAGTTGACTGTCAGCCAGAGCTGTTCTAGAGCTTTCCTTCTTTTGCTAATTGTTCTTGGTGAACCTTGGTGTCTTTTTGCTCTTGGTGTTGCAAATCTGACATTTATAAGAGGATTTACTATAATTTAGTTCTTGCAGGTCTTTAAAATTATAGGTCTATAAAATGGTTTCCTTTCATTCAATCTAGGGAACAGTAAACATTATCCCTTCTTTTAGCGTCTTTGAAGGTTCCCTTTAGCTTATTTGAATGGAAGGAATTGAAGCACTTTCCCTAAAGAGGGAGATGGGTGAGTCATTCCCCGCAGACACCCTGTTTCCAGCTTCTTTCACTGCACACTTTGCACCAGTTAAACGTGTAGCTTGTCATCCTGACGCATTTTTTCTGCATAGTTCAGCTTTGATACTTTCCGAGAAATAGCAACGAATATCTCCCTGGAAAGAGAGAAAAGTTTTTCTTTTCTCTTTTAAGGCAGGTGTCTCATCAAGTAGGGGAGGACACTAGCTGCAGAATTCACTATTTTTGTCCCTTTTTGCCCTTGTTTTTAAGACTGTTGCCTCAGGGCACCTGGGTGGCTCAGTCGGTTGGGCGTCTGCCTTTGGCTCAGGTCATGATCCCAGGGTCCTGGGATCGAGCCCTACATCGGGCTCCCTGCTCGGCGGGGTGTCTGCTTCTCCCTCTCCCTCTGCCTGCCGCTCTGCCTACTTGTGTTCTCTCTCTCTGTCAAATAAATAAATAAAATCTTAAAAAAAGACTGTTGCCTCTTGAACCTTCCCCACTCTTGGCTTATCCTCCAGTTTTTACCCAGTTCTTCCAGGAAGTAACAGTCGATTATGAAATGTTCATAGCCTAGCTGTGAACTTGATCTATGAGTTCCTAACAGATAAACATAGTTGAGTTTACCAACTTAATACTTTTGGTTCAGAATCTCAGACTACAGTATACCTAGGTAAAAAGATAGTCAGCCCTAGTAGGAGGGTATAATAAGTTGTGGTAGAGACAAATATTTGCTGGAAATAAAGTGCTTCCCTGAAAAAATAATATGTATTTGTAAGGATCAAAGAGAAAGAGGCTCCCCCCCCCCACCTTGATGCTTATTAGCATCTGTAAAAGATGATGTGAAAGGTGACATCATTTCTCCTAGTCACTCTGGTTTTTCTTCTCAGGCTCAGATTTCCAAAATTTGTTTAGGAAAAAGGCAGGTCAAAGTTGATATTGCTGCCACCACATTGGTGGTCAGGAAATAATACAAAAAACTACCTTTCTTGGGGCATCTGCATGGCTCAGTTAAGTGTCCTTCTCTTGATCTTGGCTCAGGTCTTGATCTCAAGGTTGTGGGATCGAGCCCTGTGTCAGGTTTCTTGCTGGGCATAGAGCCTACTTGAAAAAAGACAACAAAAAACCAGAAAACTACCTTTCTGGAAACTGGATTCCTAAAGGACTCAATTTAGGAAATGTGTTGTTAAATACTGATTAAAATCCAGAGAAGATATGTATTTCTATATGAAAATCTTCAGTTTTCTGAAACCAAAAAGGTGATTTGTAAAGAATACCAGGTATAAATATGTCTCTAATGAACTTGGCCTGGGATAGGACCTTTGTTCATGGTCACCATCATTGTGTTTAGACAGAAAGGAGTGAGCTTTCCCAAAAGGTGACACACAATTGAAGTTGAGTCTTTCCTTAGGGTACCCCCTCCCTCTTCTCCCCTAAATGTTTCTAGCATTACGGGTTTGGTTTCTAATCTTATTTTGCTGTGCAAGCTGCAAAAATGTCAGGTTTTTCTGACTATTTCTCTGCCTTCTGATTACCCTTTTAAGCAATGCTGATTGCAGGAAATTGCTGTGGTGCAAGGCGGGTGTCACAACACACAGTGATTAAAACCCGCATGTGTCATTCACTGCCTGATTGAAGTAATCACACAGAGGGGAAGAGCAGATGAAAAACCTGCTAAATGTGCAGAGGAGGGCTGGTTCTCATCATTTGGGTTTAAGGATTTTGAGTTAAAGAATCAAAACTCATGTGAATAAGGCTTGTGTTTTCAGTCATTTTTTTTCATTCTGAGTCCTCAAAACTTCTAAGCAGGATCTGGATCTGTGAACATTATTTCTCTAAGGAAAACAACTTACTGCTTTTTACCAAATGCAGGGTTCCCTGTATACATGACTATAGAACAGTGGTTAAGCATGTCAAGGGGAAAGATCCTAGAATGTAAGTGGGACAAACAAGTGAGAATAAAACGGGGAAAGGCCTGAACAGCCCAGTCCTGCAAGACTTGCCCTCTCCTCCCCCCGCCACATGCACTCCAGAGACCAATCCCAAGTCCACAGATGGTCACTTCTGACCCACCACCTGGAGATGGGAAATTCCAACAGCCCCCTCTTGGGGTTCAGTTAATTTGCTAGAGTGGCTCAGAGAACTTAGAGAAAAATTTACCTAAATTTACCGGCTTATTAGGGAGGATATTATAAAGGATACAAGTGAATAGGCAGATGGAAGAAATGTATAGGGCAAGCTTTGTGGGATGGAGCTCAGAACTCCTGTTCCTTTCAGGAGCACCACAGTCCTCGCCATTCTGCGTGTTCATCAACCCGAAGTTCTCTGAAGCCTGTCCTTTTGGATTTGTATGGAGACGTCATTACACAGGCAGATTGGTGAATTCATTGGCCATTGGTGATTGAACTCTATTGCCAGCCCCTCTCTCCTCAGAGGTCATCAGGGTGGAATTGAAAATTCTCACCCCTCAGTCCCATGGTTGGTTCCCCTGACCATCAGTCCCCATCCTTAGGCTACCTTGGGGCTTTCCCCAAATCTCATAATTAACAGAAGACACCGTTATCACTCTTATCGATTAGGAAATTCCAAGGGTTTTAGGAGCTCTTTGCCAGGAATGGGGATGAAGACCATATATAAATTGCTTGTTATAAATCCAGTATCACCTCTAAGATATTTAAATTATTTGGTTGTTCTGGAGAAGTGACCTATCCTATTCTCTTCCCATCTTCTGCTCTTATGCTTTCCCTGTGTGGCTGAGCTCCAGGAACTGAGTTCCCCTTGTGGACTTAGTCACTTGAGGCATCAGACTATCAACATTACTTGAACAAAGAACATTTTGAGTCGAGCATTGTAAAGGTGTTGAAGGCATCCACTAAATGATTTCTTATCTGTTTGTTTCCCTCAGGTACAGAACCCTGGTACTTCTATTTGATTAATGGATTTCTTAATTTTAATGTAGCCTTTGCTTTGGCTCTCCTGGTCTTACCACTGACTTCTCTCATGGAATACCTGTTGCAGAGATTTCATGGTGAGTAGTGTAAGGGATGATAGGTTTTTGGGGAGGAAAGAGCAAGTAACAATGTATACCAAGAAGTGAAAATGATTCTACTACTTCTGTTCTCCATTTTTCCCCCTATGGAAATGGTTGGCTTAGTGAATTTTCAATCTGTATTTGTAAATTTATGTGAAGATTTGGCTAATAATTGCAAGTTAAACTGACAAAAGGAGGAACTTTAGATCCTTTCAAGTGGGGAAATGAGTATAGCATACAGAACCACCCAGGGAGGCAAAAACAGTTACCGAATCTCAGGAGATCAGCGTATTTGGGTCTTGTGTATTTTAAAGAAGTGCATGCTAACATGGAAGATGGCTTAAGATAATAAGTAATAGAGGTAAACATTCTTAGGGGAATTACTTCAACCAAAAATTTGAAAACTAAACCGTACAGGGATTTCCCTCAAATTTGATACTGAAGTGAGAGAAGCTTTGGACTTCCTAAGAAACATTTTGCTTCTCTTTGTTCCGTTTTGCTTCTGTGTTTGCCTTATCATAGAAGGTTTGGTTTGTCAGTTATTTTGCTTGCTTTGACTCTGTAGTGCAAGGCAGTGTTTTCTCAAGTTGTCACGGATTTGGGTATCTAGTGCCCATGTTTCTATTATGGAAGACAGATTTGAGCAGAAGTTCATATGAGCTTTGGAAAGAGATTCGATTTCAGACTTTTCAGCCTGATTTGGGTGCCATATGATCTCTCCATCCCACCCCTCATTCTGCTCTTCTACTATTAATGGTTTATAAAGAGTTCACTGTGTTATACTATTCGAATATGAAAACAGTTTTCAGTCACTTTTGTTTTAACATGACCATAATGCCATTATCCTAATAAAATCAACAGTAATTCCTTAATATCTAATACCCAGTTGATGTTCAGGTTTCCTACATTGTCTGAAAAACAGCTTTTTATAGTTAGTTAGTTTTTTTTTTTTTTTTTTTAAAGAGGATCTAAAAGGGGTCATATACTGAATTTGGGGTTAAGTTTCTTAAGCTTTTTATGAGGTTCCCCCCCTTCTTTTTTCTCCTGAAGATTTCTAAGGAAATCAGGTCATTCATTTTGCAAAGTGTCCCACATTTGGATTCAGCTCTTTGTCACCTGGAGGTGTTAACTTATTCCTCCATTCCTTGGATTTCCTAAGGATCACTTTATCTTTTTTTGAAAAGTAACTTTTTTTTAACTATAAAAATAATTTATGCTTGTGGAGAATTTGGAAATGTTTGTGATGTAAGTATAAAAACAGCATATTAAGCTGTTCTCTATGAATCCAATTTTGGTTTAAAAATGTGTAATTTACACACATGTCCACCTAGTAAGAAAATGAATGCTGTTTTTTCTTTATACTTTCTGTGTATTTTGTAATAGAAAAAATACTCTTAAAGGAAAAAAACAAAAATATAAAGAATCAGGAAAGAAATTGCTTGTTATTCCATCAAGTTGTACAACTGTAGTTCTGATTTTGTACATTTTATGGAGGATATTCAAAATTTTAGGTCATATTTTAGTTTTTTAATGTTTAAATATTTAGTAATCTCTACCCTTAATGTGAGACTTTAACTCACAACCCCAAGATCAAGAGTCCCATGCTCTTCTGACTGACCCAGCCAGGCGCCCCAATCCATATTTTAAAATGTGTTTGTTTAAAAAAAAAAATGTATTTGTTAGCCTTTTAAGATACAGAAGAGAAAAAGATTTCATTTTCTTATAATTAAGAAAATTCCAACCTAAAAAACCTACCGGGAGAGTATAAATCCTAAATTATAGCCTAAAATCTTAGAATAGAAAGTTTAAAGGATAAACTTGGTATTTCAGTTCCAGAATTTTCATCCCTAAAGAGTTTCTACAAAAATCCAGATAACTGAGGAATACCAAGATGGATCTTGGTGACAATCCAGAGTTTTTCCTCTAAACTTGTTCATTGTAGACATAATGAACACCAGGGGGCACTGTCTATCTACCCTTTGCCAGTGACTTCTAGGCACTGCTGATTATGACTAATGAGAAGCACAGTAGGGGGTGCCTTCCTGGTGGGTTGCAGGTTTATCACTTAGTGTTCATGTACCTAACCCTGGGAACTTTCCAGCGGGTGCTTGGGTCTTAGTGCTCATTAAATTCCTTTAATTCTTTAACATGCTTCAAGTATATTTGGGTTCCAATTTTGGGATTCAGAGTGGATGGCTATTGCAAAAGAGGAGAGAAAACGTCATCGGTGAACTTCCTTTAAGAGTGTTTTTATATTTGCTTTGAAACAAACTCTTTTGTGGCTTGACGAAAGCCAGTGATGGGTTTGAGAGTCCAGCTTTTTCTTTCCTTTGATCTATAGCTATTTGAACAGACTGATTGGTATATAAGAAAGGAGATTAATGTATTAAACAAAACATGGGAATTAAAAGCCAAGAAAGGAGTTTATGTTACGTTTTTGGTTAATCTCAGGAGCCTTTAATCTTAGTGGCAGGACTCACTGGGGAGCGAAGGCTTTTTTCTTCAGTGTAGAAATTACTAAGCTCTGTTACCCATTCGCTTGACTTTCATTTGTGTTCTAGCCAAATCCATTATTGTGCCTCCTGTTAGATATTGGCTGTCTTGGGGGAGGTCAGGAATATACACCTCTTTCTACTTAACCCCTTTACTGCATCAGAGAAAGTGTGACTACAAGAGCTGAAATATTTTATGGGGTGCCGTAGGGCGTATTCCTGTTTGAGATCAAGAGAACATTGAAACTAAAAATGTTGTTTCGTTCTAATATGGTGAAAGGTGGATATTTTTCTGTGTCTTACAGTTCAGAATTTAGGCCACCCATATTGGCTTACCTTGGCTCCAATGTATATTTGGTTTATAATTTTCTTCATCCAGCCTCACAAAGAGGAGAGATTTCTTTTCCCTGTATATCCACTTATATGTCTCTGTGGCGCTGTGGCCCTCTCTGCACTTCAGGTGAGTTTCAGGGAAATGCTTATCTGCTTTGTTCCATTTCACTTTCTAAATTGGTCATAAACCTTAAAGGCAAATTACAGAATGCTTCCCTCAAGATATTTTATCCATGCGTTAAACCTGACACAGATCATATTATTAAAGCTTTATGTATTGATTGCTTGGCTGTTGATCATACTTTTTTTTTTTACATCATTAGTTTTTTTTTTAATTTTTATTTTATTTGATTTTTATTTATTTATTCATGAGAGACGGAGAGAGAGAGAGAGAGAGAAGCAGAGGGAGAAGCAGGCTCCCAAGGAGCAGGGAGCCCGATGCGGGACTCGATCCCAGGACCCTGGGATCATGACCCGAGCCGAAGGCAGACGCTTAACCATCTGAGCCACCCAGGCGCCCACATCATTAGTTTTTGATGTGGTGATCCATGATCCATTGTTTTCGTATAACACCCAGTGCTCCATGCAGTACGTGCCCTCCTTAATACCCATCACCGGGCTACTCTTAAGCTGGTTACATATTTGCACTGTTAATTTGTGTGTTAATTTCTTTCTGTTGCCAACAAGAGTCCACTTGATGTTAAAGGAGTTTTATTAAGTCATTGTATAGGCCTACCACAGGATGGTGGCCTCACAGCAGAGCTACTGGAATGTCTGCTCTTCAACTCCGAGATCAGATTAAAACTTGCTCAAGTGTCTGGAATAACATCAGGCATTTAGCAATATGGGACACTTTGTAATCCTGGCTTAAAACCTGTCCAGGTCAATTCCTTGTCAGAACTAATCTTGAATATCTTTTTGTCTCTGGCCTCAGAAGCCTCCAGGCTCTTTTTTGACCTCTGCTACCATTTGCAACTGGTAGTAAAGAGTAATTAGGGTTACAGTTTAGAGATATAATTCACCCATTTAAAAAGTGTAAAAAATTAAATGGTTTTTAGTATATTAACATATGTGTAACCATCACCACAGTGAACTTTAGAATATTATCACCTCAAAAGCCCTGTACCCATTAGCTGTTATCACCCCCCCCTTCATATCTCCCCAGCCATAAGCAACTACTAATCTATTTTCTGTCTCTGTAGATTTGCCCATTCTAAGCATTCCATGTAAATGGAATCCTAAAGTACGTGGTCTTCTGTGACTGGCTTCTTTCGCTCAGCATTATGTTTATTTAGTACTCATCCATGTTAGGATGGTAGTTTAAGAAAAATTTTAAATTATAAAAGTAATTGAACTTTACTGCACATAATTTTTCATTTGCTATTTTTTAAAAAAGATTTGAGAGAGAGAGCACGGGCGAGAGTAAGAGCATGTGGACGTGGGGGGAGGGGAGCAGAGGGAGAGAGAAACCCAAGCAGTCTCCTTGCTGAGCGTGGAGCCTGATGTGGGGCTCAATTCCATGACTCTGAGATCACGACCTGAGCCAAAACCAAGTCAGACGCTCAACCAACTGCGCCACCCAGGCAACTTTTACTTTTACTACTTTATAAATTAGCCCTACTTTATAAATTATAAACTTACTACTTTATAAATTAGCCCTACTATCCTAACAAAACCACCTTCCTTCCAGCATTTTTACCTATCACATACCAAACTTTATTAGGGTTGTAATCTAAATGTACATATAATTTTACATCCCTTTTAATATAACTACATTATATCATTTTCAGGGTTGTCATATCTGTAACCCATCTTTTGAATAGGGGTATGTTCTAAATTTGGTACAAAAACATTATGTAATGTATGTAATGTACTGAATTTGTTTACATATAATTAGATACATAATTTATGGTAGGTTTAGGATGCTTATTTCAGTGTTATAAACAAACAGTGCTAGGATGAATATCTTTAGGTGTTTGGATTGTTTCCCTAGGACAGATTCCCCCAAATATGAAGGAGTTTAAACACATTTATGGCACTAACAAGTAAATATTTGTAAAATTTTACTTCTCCAAAGTTTAGGTCTAGCCTAGGAAGGAAAAAAGGAAATAAATCTAATGGGAACGTGCTCAAAGATTGTAGAATTCATGCATGTATGTATATGTTGTAGTAATATTCCTTTAGTTTGTAAAGTAGTTTAGCAGATAATTAACAGCATTTTCCTGATGCTCTGTGAGAGGAATTCTTTTTTCTTGTTTGGTCATGAGACATTCTGTTGGTACTAAAAACTGATGAAAACTTCTCAGTGAGAAAAGTAAAGATGAATACTTGTTACATCAAAATAGAGATACTTCATATATCAAAGCAAACTGCCAAAAAGCACTTTTGTTTATTTAATTTATTTATTAAGAACAATCTTTTTTTAAGTAGGGTCCGTGCCCAACGTGGGGCTTGTACTCACAACCCTGAGATCAAGAGTTGCATGCTCCACCAACTGAGCCAGTCAGGCACACCAGCACTTTTGTTTAAATATTAAAAAAAAAAAATATTAGGACCTTAAGCACTAGAGAGGTTTCCAAATATTTTTCCTACGAAGCTGGTGAGAATTCCTCTGGTTGGGCTGACCTGTAGATAGTCTTAACGGAATTTGTTTTCATCTTAGAACTTGGAGCGGGTACCTCACTAAGTGTTTGCAAATGCTCAGACCCTTAATAGACTCTCTTCTGCTGCTTTTTCCCTCTTGCTGTTGTTATGATGTTTTCTGATTGCGTTACGTATATTCTGCAAGTTCTTTTTTTTTTTTCAATACAGTTTTCTTTCCTTCTAGAAATGTTACCACTTCACGTTTCAGCGATACCGCCTGGAGCATTACACGGTGACATCGAACTGGCTGGCATCGGGAATGCTCGTCCTGTTTGGGCTCTTGTCCTTTTCTCGCTCTGCGACGCTGTTCAAAGGTAGATGCACAGAGAAAGTCTTGCCCCAGACTCACGAGGCACTTCAGCTTGGGTTTTGATGGATACGTGATTAATACAGTTCAGCTTCAGCTGGGAGGAGGACTGCTATAAAGAGACCCTGTGGACTTAATATTGTGACAGGAATGTGACTTCTCTTCCTTAAAATGAAAGAGAAGACTGAGAGTTCTACAAGGAATTTGTGACGGACTATAAAATTTTTTTTCTATTCTTGTTTTTTGTTATTGTTGGTTTTTTAAAGGATGCTTTTTCATTTTGAAGGATGAATTAAGCGTTGAACACAGGAAGCAAATTTGGGGCTCAATTCCCATGATTGTATTCTTCCTGTAATTATTGTTTGGATCCAGAAGATTAAAATGTGCTCAAAGAACAGAAGTTAATAAGGCAGAAGGGTGTAGCCTCTCATCTTACTCATCTTTTGCTTTCACAAACCTCTCTTCCTTCCAGGGTATCACGGGCCCCTTGATTTGTATCCAGAATTTTACCGAATTGCCACAGACCCAACCATCCACACTGTCCCAGAAGGCAGGCCTGTGAATGTCTGTGTAGGAAAGGAGTGGTATCGCTTTCCCAGTAGCTTCCTTCTGCCTGATAAGTAAGTTTTCCTTTAATTCCCAGAGTTTTATTTTTTGTGTTTATTATTATTTATTTTTAAAATATTTTATTTATTTGACAGAGAGGCAGCGAGAGAGGGAGCACAAACAGGGGGAGCGGGAGAGGGAGAAGCAGGCCTCCCGCCGAGCAGGGAGCTCGATGCGGGGCTCGATCCCAGGACCCCGGGATCATGACCTGAGCCGAAGGCAGATGCTTAACAAATCTGAGCCCACCCAGGCGCCCCCTAATTCCCAGAGTTTTAAATCAAGGAGTAAAAACAGCAATTCTATGACAGTGTCTCCTTAATTTTTCTTTCACGTTCGGATTTTCACAAAAAGTTGTTGGATAATTGACCACTTCAGAGCTGTGAGATTGGCACTGTGCAACCACAGCGGTGTTCAGTGGACGGGCGGCTGTGTCTGGCCACGCACCCCGTGCTCCTTGTAACAGCGGGGACTTCTAAAAACCCCTGGGGCCCCAGGCTCCTGCTGGTGGCTCTTCCTGAGGATTCATATGTAAATTTCAATAATCATCTGATATTAATCCACTTCCAAAAGTGGTCTAGAAACTCTAGCTAGAAGAGTGTTTTTAGAGAAGAAATGTTTGTCATCCAACAATAGTGAAAGTTCTTTACCAGTATGTGGACGCTGGGGAAAGCTGTGGTTAAGGTAAGTGTACCACTTGCCTTCATGCTCTCTGTTGGATGATAGCATAGGCTCAGGAGTTCCTCGTGTTTGCTTAATTCGGACCGAGAAGATCCTATTTAGGGAAAAGGGAAGTCAGGTTAAGATGAGTCATGTTCCATTTGGGGATTGGCTTCAGCAGCTTAGCTGGTGGGGGTATCTTGTGCTGAATGAAGATCCTGTATCAGTCATTAATCATTAAATTAAAATGTGGGTTTTTTTTTTTTTTGAAGTATTAACTAACGTTAGCCTTTGCCTTTTACCTTTGCAATAGTTTCACAACTAAAGATACTTGTGAGAATTACTCAGGGACAAAGTACTCCCATAGTGTGTTCTTGCATTTCACTCTTTTCCTACCTGATGAATTTGCTTTAATTTGGTAAGTGCCTCTGTCATGTGGTTATTGGTGATAAACTGGGATGCTTCTCTGGTTGTTTGGTGGAAGGACCATTTGGTTGCAAATTTTACTGCTAAGAGTTGGTGGAATAGGTTGAGAGACCTCTCACTGAAAATTTCTCAACGATGTTGGCCTGAATCATGATCTTTGCCTCTGTGCCCCCTGGCGGAGGTTTTAGCAGAAATATTTTTTTCTCCAAGCGAGATGTTTTTCACATGAATTTTTTTTTTTTTTTTTTGGCTTATTTCAAGTACATTTAGCAACATGGGCCCCCTGTGTTTTTCTTACTCTTCCTTATTTGTGTTTCTGACAGTTGGCAGCTTCAGTTCATTCCATCAGAGTTCAGGGGTCAGTTACCAAAACCTTTTGCGGAGGGACCACTTGCCACTCGAATTGTTCCTACTGACATGAATGACCAGAACCTGGAGGAGCCATCCAGATACGTAAGGGCGACAGTTTCTTTCACCACTTGAAAGTTCTACCCTAAAATCTGTTGGCATACACGTTGGAGCCTTGATTAAATGGGAATTTCTTAGAAAGTGATTTCTTTTTTTTTTTTTTAAAGATTATTTATTTGAGAGAGCGAGAAAGGGAGAAAGAGCACATGAGAGGGGGAGGGTCAGAGGGAGAAGCAGACTCCCCGCCGAGCAGGGAGCCCAATGTTGGACTCGATCCCGGGACTCCAGGATCATGACCTGAGCCGAAGGCAGTTGCTCAACCAACTGAGCCACCCAGGCGCCCTTAGAAAGTGATTTCTTTAGGGTAAGAGATGTAACAGCTTTTGTTGAGAATAGTAGCACGTTTAGAATTTCCTTTTATTTTCTGTGAAACACATAGTTCAATATATTTTCTGAGCCGGTCTGGAAATTTTCTTACGTTGAATTCAAATCATTTTGAAACGCATTCTGAAACTCTTATCATTCCCTGGCTCATTAAAATATTTGGTGGGGAACTTTCAAGTTCTCAGTAGACCTTTGACCTAATTATCAGTGTATTCTGGTTTTAGCAAATGGACGTCAGTGAATGAAGGCTATTTTCCTGGTGAGCGCATGGTGCAATCTCTGTCAGGGTCGTGCTCTTTCACCCACTCATTTCTGTGTACTCCAGGATCCCATGTGGTTTTATTTCAGTTCCTTTGAAAGATGACACTTGCGCCATTTGATACTTGTAAAATCTTTGTAGAAAAGGTGAATGCAATAAAGATAATGTTCCTGGTTCCCGGAGACAGGAGAAGAGTATTTTATAGAATTATTAGAAAGCACTTTTTTTTTTTTTTTTGGCAACCTGTCTTTTAAAGAATCATTTAACGGTTTAAATGTCAAACACATTTTGGGTAAGTTTTCCCATATACTTCCTATGTGAAATGACCGGGACTCGTGGTATTGTGAAGGGCTCCTGCAGCCACACGTGGCCTTTTGTCTCCCAGATGGAGACCCTCGGGGCTTATGAGGGAGAGTCTTACTGTGGGAGTTTAAGCTATAAGCTATGGAAATGGCCATTGTCAGATACATATTTGGCCTGGCCCCCTGAGAAGGTAAGATCTGTATTCCATCAAGGGGTTTCTATCAGAGTTTTTTTTTCCTAACTTAAGCTTCTGATTCCTGGAATATTGAAAATACCCCAGGATGGGGTAAAGTGTTTTTGGTCACTTTTGTTTTAGCTGCAGATACTCTCCTGACAGCAGACCTTGATGGGGAGCACCATGAGGACACTGGATAGTCAGAAGGTTAGGCACATACACTATAATGACGGGGCGGGGGGAGACACAAATTCAGAGTGATGTTGTCACAGTTCTGTTTTAAGAAGAAGGAGGATGGACTTTGGGGTCAAGTAGGCCTGAGTTCAAATCCTAGTTCTCTTGCTTACTTTGGTGACCTTGGGCAAATTAGTTAACTTCTCTATTTAATTTGTTTCTATCTGTAAAATAGAATAATGGCACCCATTTGGAAGATTATAATGAGCTTAGATATTCTATCTGTCATATTTAGCATAGTGTGGTACATAGATTTTCCCACAAATGTTCTTAATCTGATAATGGTGTATCAGGTGGATTGGAGGTAAAGGAACCCTTAAGAGGATTCATAATCTGCCTGAATCTCTCTCTCCTTCCTTCCTTTTCTTGTTTTCCAACCTGATTTTTGTCCACCCACACCCATCATTGCCTTTTCCATCCCAGTGACTTTGCTTATCTTGGTGACTGTGCCTAGACTACCTTTGTCTCCCTCCTTCTGCCATCAAAACTCTCTTCCTGTCTGTAGCCTTTCCCACCTACTTAAGCCCACAGTGAGCTGTGCTCCTTTAAATGCCTGAAATACTTTACCGGTCATTTGGCCATTCATTTTTGTCTTACATTATTTATGTATTTCTGATATGTATGTCCTGTGTCTCCTCATCAGCCTGTGAATGCTGTGGAGAGAATGCCTGCACGCCGTTTCTTCTTCACCCCGTATTCACTGTAGCATCTAGGATAGTGCTGTGTGTCTGGTAGTTACCCTGCGTGTGCTTTCCGAGTGGGGAAATGAACATTCCTCATCATTGGCACAGTGATCTTGAGAGAAAGCTGGCTATAAAATCTTACAGTGGCCTTTTGCACGTTTCTCAGGCTTTGGTCACTGGTTGTCTTTGGTTAGATCATATTCCCATATACTCTGCTACCGGACACTGTTAAATTTAGTTCAGTGGCTCTATGTTAGCTTTACCCCAAAGCAAAGATTTTTCGGAATACCTGTAAGAGTCACCAAAATGCTGATTAAAAACAAGTCCAATGTATCTACTGAGTGTGTAGTGTCCACTGTTGTGCTCGTCCACCTTCCTGTGTTTGAGATTTTTCCTGCAAAGCTCTTTCTGACATTTCCTGCCTGGTAGGACAAGTGTCCTCCAAATCCAGGCTGCTCACCTTTCATCCTTTGGAAAGTAAAGGAGACATTTGACAGCTTGCTGTGAATTCAACGTGAATGATGATCAGGGATTCATTTCTTTCAGTCGGTTGATTTTCTTCTGATGATAAAAACATAAATTCTTTGTATAAAATAATGAAGGCTATCAATAAAAAAGTCATCCATAATCTTATTACCCGAATTTTAAACTATGTTTACCATTTTGGTCTTTCTGTCTTTTACTCGTTTCCCTTGCATATATGTAGGTAGGTATGTTAACAAAAATGTCAATTATTAAAAAAAATTTTAATGTAGTTTTTAAGAAATAGTGCCAGGATTGTGGCTGTGATAATAACTTGGCCTGGTGTGTAGGAGCACATGCTAGACTACATCAGTGCTTGTTCCTTCCGGTATCAGTCCTGGTTCTTTCGAGGAGACAAAGCCATGATGTTCCCTGTCTTCGCTCAGCATGCGGGATGCGGCAGTGCTTTTATCAGCCTCTTGGCTCTGAGAGACAGGTTTTAGCCAATCTTCGGCTTCAGTGCTCAGTGGTGAGGTCTGTCTCCTCTTTCTGGTCTGCGTGGAAATGAGGATACATGCAGGACTTCCTTTACTTCACTGTCCTCCTTGACGTCTGAGTCGATCAAGAATTAAGAGTGTAAATGCTCTGTGGTTTCTACAGCACTGTTGGAACGATCTTGCAGAAATATTTTTATTTTGCTCCCTATTCTTTCATTCATTCTTTCATGAGTAGCTTTTGAACATCTCATTATTGAATGGGTGGCATTTTTACAGGGGTGCATGCCAGATTTCCTGCCAAAATCAAGGTGTGAATTTAGAAGATATATTCAGTGTCTTCTCTTTATTGACAAATCCAGTTTTTCATTGGCTATTTCAAGGTGAATGATATCCTTCTGACTCCAAATCTGAAACCTGATGTGGGAGCTACAGAAGTAACAAACACCTGTTCAGGAGGGATCTTAGACTTTTCTCTGATTTTAACTTATTGCATAAACAGACTCGGAGGAAGCTTGTCCATCTGTTCTGTTTGAAAAAATGGAAGTGTTCATTGATGACTTTTCCCCAAACAGTGATACAGTCAGTTCTGCTCTAACTTGGTATAAAGTTGCTAAAAATCATTGTGTGGTAAAAAACCACAAGGCTCCTGTCTCATATTGAAGTCTTTCAACCATTTGGAGTCTATTTTTGTGTGTGGTGTAGGAAATGGTCCAGTTTCATTCTTCTGCATGTGGCTGTCCAGTTTTCCCAACACCGTTTGTTGAAGAGACGGTCTTTTTTCCATTGGACGTTCTTTCCTGCTTTGTCGAAGATGAGTTGACCATAGAGTTGAGGGTCTATTTCTGGGCTCTCTATTCTGTTCCATTGCGGGGGAGAAAAACCACGAGGCTTATGGGAAAAATGGGATTAGGGACACAGTACTCAAAAACATTGTCAGTGACGCATAAAAAAAGATATGAGCCTATAAAAATGGTCGCACAGTTTCACATATGTTGAGTGGCTGAAAGTACATAAGTACTAGAGTAATGTGGGAGTTTACCTTGAAACAGACCTGAAGTGTGCTTGTCGCAGTGGTGCTGGAAGGCTTATCTGCAGGAGGACAGAAAGTCATCCTGCCAAAGCGGTCAGGTGCGGCCCGGAGCACAGCGTGTGCTGCAGATGCGGGGAGACCACGGGGTGTGCGTGCGTGCACTTGGTGTACTCCTTCCCTGACAACTCAGCTGAGTGCAGTTTGCCCGCTTCACCGCGTGTTTCTTGTGGATTAAATGACACAAGAGCAAAAGCAGAAATTGAATTACTCTCAGACTGTTCCCTGATAGATCTGCTGTGTTGGAACAAATTTGCATTTTCAAAACAAGCGTTACAACAGAATTGACTGTGTATTCAGTCAAAACTTAAGTTTTGACTTAAGTACTTGTTCTTAAGTCCTTGCTTTTCCCATTTCATCAGTGGGAAGAATTATGAGTTTGGAAGGGAATTTAAGATACCACAGAGTCCATGGTCTCTTCATTTTATGGGTGAAGAAATGGAGGCTCAGAGGGGTTGTAACCTGACAAAGGTTAGTCCTAGTATGAGAAGCTTGGTTTCAGGATTCCCCAATATTCTTTTCACACCTCCTCTTACTTCCAAAGCCACTTACGGTTTATACCATATGGCATATCCCTTGAATGTATATGTGTGTTCCTGGTTAATCATTCTTTGATGTAACAAGGTTGACTAGACAATAAATAGCTAAGCCTTAATTTTTAAAGAAGTTACTTTACATTTCTCGAGCTCTGATATATATATATATACATATATATATATGTATATATATATAAATGCCAGGTATTTTAAGTGGCAGTTGTGTTTGTCTGTAGGAATAATCAGGGTCCTCACCCCCGTTTCTTCTTTCTGTCCTATTTTTCTTGTCCTTCCTCCTCCTCCTATTAGAAAGCCTTACTGCAGGAGAAAGTGAGTGGTCCTATAGATAATCCTTGCTGATCGTTACCAGCCTCATATTGAAGCAGAAGAAGGTCCAGATTGCTGTAATATGTGCAGTGGAATAA